TTCTTTCCCCACACTTCACTTGATCGCTGAGCTTTTCGCTCTGTCCAGATTTAATGGAGTCTTTCTTCTGTTAACGCTTTACCTTCCTGAAGGCTTCTTTCTTTTCTGTTCACTATCTCATCATAGTCCACTCTTAGTGAGGGGCCAGATTGTGCTATGTGTATTCGTAGTCGTGGTTTCCTCCCATACATCAATTGAAAAAATGACTTCTTTGTTGTTTCCTGGATGGAAACACGATGTACGAATAGAGTCAGTGCAGACTCTATCTCCCTAACCCACCCTACGACAGGTCATTCATATCGGTGCCGTGCTTAGCGTTGATGCCCGGTGAAAACGAGCACCCATATACTAGAACCTCTGGCCCCGCGAAATTCTGCACCCCGGTCTTCAAGTAGCTAGGCTACGGGGCTAGGCATTTAGTAACTACACACAGTAATCCACCAGTTGAGGTTTCTAGGACTTGTTTATACAACCTGTAACTTTAATTGATTTTAGAAGATCAGTGTATTACCAAAGTGACTGATACATAAATAGGTTAATTTCGCCAGAGAAAGAATAATGACATGAGGAATTACATGAATCTGCAAGGTCACGAATTAGTGACAATGCCCCTTGAGCCATTTAGAACAATTTTCACAGAGTCCGCCCAGTCGAAACCACTTTCTTCATGGAGGCTTACACACTAAATGAACACGGTCACAAAGGCTTCATCATGGATTGACTGATGGATATATTTTAGTCCGACCATATTTTATTTTTTATATTTTTGATTACAGCTTGATTCCACATTGTACTCTTTCTCGTTGAGAAAGGCAATACATCAACATTTGTAAGAATTGAAAGAATTTTGACTTAGTTGTGAGCAGGTTGATTTAATTGCAAAGCTTTTGTCATCCTTCTAGACAACATCTTCAGCGCATGTTTCAGCATAAAACGAACTTATTTCAACTCTACATCAATGATATAATTGAATTTCCTGGCAGCTATTACATTGACTGGTTGTTAATTTACTAGAACCTGCACTGACGAAGTTCTCTGGATGGACAATGAATGCTTCGTAATTAAATTAACCAGCTCAGAGAACACAAATAAGTCAAAATCATCCATCTCAGTAATCCCTGGTTTCGAGTGGATCTCTATTAAACGTCAACCTGAATCACTCAAGTTACGCAATATTTTTCACTACACACCACCACCATGTTGCCAAACTACTCTCACTTGCTAAATACGAATCTGGGAGTGATGACAGCTGTTTCGTCCTAGTCTGGAACTCCTTATCAGTGCGCACGCCCCGCCAAGGTTCGAACACAAGGCCTTCTGGTTACATATTGGCAGAAGTTGGAATTCATGGATTGGCTCACCTTGGTAACCAGAAGAGCCTGGGTTCACAACCCCTGGTTGGAGGTGCGTACTAATAAGGAACCCCAAAGCTAGGACAAAACAGCTGTGTCTAGCATTCGCAGGTTTCCTAATGTTTCTCTAAATGATATCAACTTGTGATCTATCCTGAAAGAAGATTGTATCAGCAGTTAGTTAGTTAGTTGGTTATTTTAGGCTGCTAATGATGCTTACATTTGTCGCTTTCATTGTGTGTTCTTGTTGTGATATACCCTCCTACGGAATATACAACAAGTAAGCAATTTTTTATAAAATATCCAATAATAAATAAGATAAAAGTACACTATATCCTGAGAGTTAAGAGTTAAGAAAAACATACGATATCGAATTACAACAGACACACTATATATTCATATTATCTATCAAAGTTGTCAGTCAATAATATTAAAAAGGGTCAGATGACTTTATAAAGAGTTTCATAATAAGTAACCAAACAACATAATAATACGAAATGTTATAATGAACTTAGTAAAATCTTGTAAACGCGTTTGTGTACTTAGTTATTTTAATTAATTGAAAATACACTCCATCACCTCTATCTATCATGGTGGTAGTGGTAATCAATCATTACACACTTAAGTAGACGTGGCATACTGATATGCTGTGTGTGCAAAATAATTGTGAAACTTTCAGACAGATAATACGAGTTTACAGACTGTGTTGAAAACACCGAGAACCACACTATGGAGTGATGTTAAAACATACTCGGCGCAGCCCCCCCCTACCGGCCAAAGTACACGAGTTTTAATAAGCAACACTAAGAGGATATAAGTGAAAACGAGGCATTTTTCGCATGAGACAGCCCCCCCCCTCCCTACATATATTAGCATGAAACCATGATGATTCAATTTTATATGATGTTTAAGTCTGAATTCTAAATATGAGACTATCGAAACAATAATTGCTCCCACAGACTGGTAAGACCTGTTGCCAATGTAGTTGAAGAATGAATGATCAATTTTATGGTTGTTTGCTCAAATCCAACTCCATATTTTGGCGGGAGTCACCGATACTGCAGTCATCGTTCCATAGTTCGCTGTCCGTTAGTAGACAAAGAAATACTATCAGAAGCATACTATTGTGTTTAATTGTTATGACATTTATTCTTAGACTTTGTGTACAGTAGCCTTATGGTTAGTTCTATATTGATGCAAGAATAAAGGATTCTTGAGTCACCAATCTGTGTTCTGGTTTTTCGCGTTGTTTATTGCACATTGTTGCTGAAGGTCTTCTAAGGACAGTGTTAAGTCCAGTGTAGTTACACCTGGACATTGACACATGTGAATTTAGGGGTAGGGCTTTAACAACACTTAGCCCTATGTAATGATGAAGTCAGACATTTTCCATCAGCTCAGCTGAACTATACCTACTATAAAATATGCACTTAAAACCCATGAAGCCTGAACAGTTCAAAAATGAACAAGCAGCTTAGTAACCTTCTCCAGCTACTTAGCCATCACATGGGTTATGCGTAAGAACAACCATCATTCTTAAATTGTGGGTATTTAGAACCATTTACGAAGGTTTCTTCTTATCTTACTGTTAAGGGTGTCAACACTACACCTGAAGGTTTATTCACCAACTGAGTCATAGAGGAGAAAGAGAGAGCTAAAAACGACTGTAGAGAACAGAATGAAATGGAAACGTGCCGTTGAAGACTGACTGATTGGTTTCAACGTAGAACTTTGCACAGACGTGCAGCACTTCAACTTGAACCACTCCCTCCTTGTAGCACACAAAGTAAGAGACGAGATCATAAACTCAAGTGTGTGAGTGAAAAGGAATAGTAATATAGAAGAACAATAGAATTTTATTAAATATTATAAATAACAAAGAGTGAATGCATCTGCGCCAGCCACTGACAACGAGGATTTCGAACAATATCACCAATTGGTTTCAGCAGCTATTGGTAAGGCTCTTAGCACCTCGAAGACCCTAACCAACCAGGGAACAAGTCTACACCTCCCTATGTGGCAGGCTGGCTGGCTGAATCAAACTAACTGTTATGTATTTCACTGACTGATGAAGACATGTTTTGGTTTGGCAACCACTAGCTAACTCTTTTCCAACCTGATCCATTTTACGTCAACCAGCTGACATTGACCGTCAAAAAAGGTAAAATCGATGGCTAACATGCATAACACATGTCTAACCATCTCCATCGGTGCGACTTCACAATCTCGTCGATTGATTTAACCCTCCTTATCTATCACTCACAACGCCTAGCCTCAATCTTGCTCACCCTGTCATACCGCCTAACACGGGAGACAGAACGTAGGCAGCTAACCTTTTCATATCAATGGCCATTTTATCAATCATAGCCATAAACAAGGAGGGAGCGAAGCTTTTGTTCCACTCCGACCATCCAAGGGAGTAAAGTTAGTAAGAATAATCTACTGTATCCGAGATACTATTCTCTTGATGTACATCGGCACTTGTGAGAATAACCACATTATCATCTGTATAGTATCCAGTTTGATTCTGAGAATACTTCTTAGCTTTACGCCACAAATTTACTCAAAAAGAGACCACTTTCAACTACTACTACTGTGGTGAGAGCAGGCTGCTAGCCAATTTGTAGACATTAATTTACGTCAATGTCTATGTCCCTAATATTGGCCGTGAGAAATATGAACAAGATTGATTCAGCAACCAATCACAGCAAACTTAACGGGGGAAAATACGATTCGCAGATATATGGCTTAACTTTCTGAGAAACCAGTCACAAACAGTACAGAATAACCTTGAGCAAGAAACAACCAATCAGAAGACTGTGTTTATCTGTTTGAATAAGCTATAATAATGTACATGAAATATATATGAATACGTGCTGATTTGATTAATAAACGATCTGTTGCCTGGCCCTTGTCTTCTGTTGTTACACTACTACTGTGGCGCGCACTACTGATACGATTTATCAGTAGTATATAAAAAGAGACGTTCATCGGCACAAAAAACATCAAATAGCATGGAAGTAGATTTGAAGTCAAAGAAAGCAAATGATTCAGCATTCCAGAGATACATAGGAGACGTGTAGTAGTTGTAGTACAACAACAAGGAAGATCTTTTGCAAATGGTGCATGCATTGAAGATAAGGTGTGGATAATTCGACTGTTATAAAAGAGGCACCAAATAGCATATAAACATTCCTTTACCAAGTGTGTCTGTCTCTTTGTCTTCTACCGCTACACACACCACTACTACTACTACCGCTTTACAGACAGACCACTTTCTAACTACACAAAATACATGATTGTATATACAATCTATAAGAACAAAATCTAGACAAACATATTTATTCAATAAAGTCCAAGGTTCAATAATGAAATAAGTAACAAACAAAAGAAAAAAGAGAGAAAAATAGTAAACTAATTTAAATACCATAAAACAGAGTGGGAGAGAGAGAGACAGAAGAGAAAAATAGGCACAACACAATCCCCTTATATAAATACTCACACACCATACGCATACACACAAATACAATGGTTAGCGGAAAAAATACACGCATTCACGTGTGTGCCTGTATGTGTGTATGTGTTGCGTTATCTTTATGCATAATAATAATAAATAATAATAATAACAATAACAACTAACTGACTTACCTATACCCAAATGTGTATTAATGCTGGCGTAGCGTGCTGTCCCGGTAAGATTTTTATTCTCTCGATATGGTATATGCTGACGTGTTCGACTGTCACGATATTTTTTAGCCAAACCAAAATCGATCAGATAGACTAGATTGCCACGTTTACCCAAACCCATAAGAAAATTATCCGGTTTTATGTCACTAAATTTATAAATGAGCATAAGAAATAATAATTAATAATAATAATACTAATGGTACTGTGAGAAATGATCATTGAAAATGGAAGATACGAAAAGGTTAGTTGACTGAGATGACTGTCTTTGACCAGAGATGTTTGCATTGTATGCCTCCCCTTGCACCACCTGGAGACGTACATGGTTCATTGGTGAATAAGCACTCGACTTTCGGATTCCAATCCCTCCACACTTACTTCAGTCACTTAGCCAACTTGGTTAGTATCATCACCAGCTCTCTCTTCAAACAAGTGTAGCGCTCATAGCCTGGAAAGTGAAAGATATGCTCCGGAAATTCAGTTCACTATCCCTATCCTCCGTATAAAATGGTATGGAGCTGGCAGATAGAGTGTTAAGTGTAACAACAGAAGACAACGGCCAAGAAACAGATCGTTTATTGCCAAAATCAAAAGATATTTATAGATTTTTATGTACATTATTGTCAGCAAGGAGAGGAAACGTCTTCTGATTGGTTGTTTTCTTTCTCAGAAAGTTAAGGCATAATATATCTGCGAATCGCATCTGCACACGTTAAGTCTGCTGTAGTTGGTTGGTGAGTTCCTCAAGGTTAAGCTTTGTTGCTGTTTTTCTCATGGCCCTGAATCGGGACGCAAACACTGACCTCTACAATTTTGGCTTGCAGACAGCTCTCACCACAAGGTTAGCAAGCTAAGTTAGCCTATGGGGTTGTGAAGCTGCATCGACTGAGATGGCTAGGAAATGAGTCACGCATTCTGAGCCATCGCCTTCCTCAACGGTCAATGTTAGCTGACTGACATAGGACTGATCAGGTTGGAAAAGAGTTAGCTAGTGATGATCAAAGCAATACCATGAAGTTTCTGACAGTTAGTTTCAGCAAGTCAGGTTTACAACTAAATGGATAGGAACTCTTGTTGATATGGCGCAGGTGCAATCCCTCAATGTCATTGCGCCCATTCTCACTAGATCTATGTTACTGCTCTTTCATCTATTACATTTCTACGCATTATTATAACTCATCTTTTGAATCTAACTTTTCTTCTCTTTTGTCTACCTCTGTATGCTACATGGAGTGTGGCAAAGATTTGCGATGAAATTTAGTCATTCAGTCAGTTGGATTGGAAGTTAACTGGTTGGATCAATGAGTCATACAATTGCATTTGACATCATTGGTCTAGACATCTGCGCTCTTCAAACCACTGGGGCCACAGGTTCGAATCCTGTTCTTTAAGCAGGGAGGTAGTATCGCTAGCTATCACACGACAGTATTTTGTTTGAGAGGAGTAGACATCTGATTTTACCTACATGAATTCTATGTATACCTACCTAAAGTTATCCATTTCCTGTCTTTCTCTGTTCTCCACCTCCAAAAAAAAAATCGATTACTCTGTGCCAGTAAAAAGATTTCTATAACCACTGTCAAAAATATTCTGATTGGACTCTAGTTAGTAGAACTAGTCTTTTGTTTAGTGCACAAACTGAATCCTATCACAGTCAAGTTTGTAATGTGGCCGCCACTCTGAATTGTTATTTATAAAATGGATGGAGGCAGTGTCGGCAGGATGTCTTCAACTCCACTCTTTGAATGAACTCATATCCTTTCTGAACTTCAAAGTCAAAGACGTTACCGTTGTATTCTTCAAGAATGCAGATATACACCTTGTTGACTGGTGATCGCCACAACAAGCACGAAAATTTATGTCGAAGGCTTTTTTATAGCCAACTGTCTCAACCATCTAATATTAACAAGAAATTCGGAATGGTCTTCAAAATGTCAGGTACTGGAATCAAACTAATTTCTGTGACAACAACAACAACAATAACCAACATAAGAAGTATTGAAAATTAAGATTATAGGTTCATTCATATGAAAAGTTTTATATTACATTTAATGATAACAACTAAAAAATCTAAACTAAATAAAGCTATTTTGATTACGCTACACAAATTCTTATTCACAAAAAAGAAGAAGGCGATCACAAAAACTAACTTAGTAGCTATAAAAAAACAACTCTGAAATGATGAAAAGGTTAGGCAAACGTGCGATACATAAGTCAGCACACAGAAAGAAGTACTATATACACCATAGACCGTGAGGTATGATTAACTTATCTAACAGGATATCACTTGTTATTGAGGTGTTCACGTGTCAATGTGATTATTGCATACCAATGTTAAGAGTACTTACTTTACTTTACTTCGCTATCTCCTACGGGAGGATGAGCCGGCTTCATGAACAAGAGTTCATGAAGTTTCATGGTAATTAGGTACGAGTGATGTCCCCAGGATCGCTCGTCCTTTTGTTTGAGAGTGCAGCTCTAGCCTTTACACAGCCAAGTGTGACCTACAAGGCAGTAGGAGTGGAGTGGGGAGTCCACTATCCATTGTCAGCCGGTGACCGGAGTCCGGTTCATACGTCTTTTTGAACGGGCCAGACATCCAGGGCATCCAATAAGCCCTTTGTCCATACGTCTGCCGGTGAGCTCCAGTGAGCTTCATACGTCAGTCGTTGGAGGTTTGGAATCAGGGTTTAGCCATCTCCCCTAGACTGTCATCTAATGGACAGTCAACCTGGTGAAGAGCGCCGGGTATCCGCTTTTGCCCTCTCACTTCGGTGAAAAACACCTCCGCCACGTGGAAGCAGTGAGTAGGACTTCCTCAGGAGAGGCAATGTAAGACGCCCGGTCATATGGTAGCATTTCAAGAGGTGTGCGGAGGGGTGGCCAACCCGCAGCGCAAGGCACCCACCCCCGACCACCCTGAGGCTTTGGAGGCCTCTACAAAGAGTGTAATCACTTTTGTCACTTCTCCTGTTTACAGTTATTCAAACAAAGTTTTAATGCCACAAAAAGTTGTAAAACATCACTTGAGATGAGCAAAATTCCAAAGGCGCTATATACAACACAATCATAAGGTAAATTAAGAGTACTGGCCAATCGCAATACAAGGTATGAAAGTGCTAAATTGATTACTACGTGAAACAACCTTGAAATGACAAACATACACCTACCTTTAGAACAATCCTTTACAGGATCCTTAAAATTCCTAAAAAGTATACTATGCTATACTATTTACCTGAGATGGATCGTTTCAACTACAGACAGATGCGACTGACCAGGATATCAAAGCAAGGATCGAGAAAGCGAAAAAAACTTTCATTATTATCAAGTCTGTGTGGAGGTCAACAGCCCTCCCCACAACATCAAAAATAAGATCCAGATTTTCAACTCCAATGTGTAGTCAGCCAGTGCTACTAACTATACGGATCAGAGACTTGCACTGCGCGTCATAAAGAGCACCTCAAACAAACTACAGACCTTCATCAACAGCTAGCTGTCTTCGCCAATACTACTTAAGATCAGATGATCGGCCAGAAAAGATCAGCAACAGGGACGGATCTCTAGCAATGAGCGAACCAACCAGCAGGAACCGATGGTGAAACAAATAGGCAGGAAGAAATGGAGATGGATTGGATTTGCCACACTCTGAGGAAACCATCAAGTGACATCACTAAACAAGCCATTGCTCGAGTGGAACCCGACCGAATGGGAAGCGGTGAGTCGGTCGTCAGTGCAAGGGTGACTTGGAGGAGGTCATGTGAAGAGGGGATGAAAGCATGTGGGCAGACTTGGAGCCAGGTGAAAACTCTAGCAGAGAACCGAACGCAGTGGAGACGTGTAGCTGAAGCCCTATGTTCCTCTAGGAATTAAAGGAAATAATAATAATACTATACTATCAAGCCTCATAACATGAAAATAACACTAAATCCACTGAACAACGAATAATAAGAAAAGTGTCACTTCTCAAGAGTTTGTTTGTAAACGTTTGATTTGTTTCAAATTTCAACATGGATAAGGAGTCTTCGGTGATACCGCAACCCCATCGTCGAGATTCAAACCCAGGAGCTTCCGGTTACACGTCAGGCTCGTGGACTATTCAGCCACTGGGAGCTGAGTCAACCACCCCCTGAATTCCAACTTCTATCGATTCGTTCGTGATCTTAGAACCAGTCGATATCAAATCCCAACAAACAAACTCTTTGAAATTGACCTAATGCTCGCCAATGACTGGCTGCAAGGCGAATTTGCCTGGTGTTCTAGTGAAAAGTTATGAGCAGTGCTGTCCACCTGGCCATATATGGATGACATTGAATGGTGCCTAGTCACGCTAAAAAATATCATCAAGTAGTAGAAGTTGGAATTCATGGGCCGCCTATCGGGTCGTGTTTCAGAGGCTGAATGGTCTATGAGCTTGCCTTGTAACCGAAATGTCCTGGGTTCTAGCCTCAGTGATGGGTGTGTACTGACGACGGGTCTCAAGCCAGGACGACACAACTCTCCAGTACTCCCCAGAGTGCTGGCTTTCAATGGTTCTCTAACATTCTCTCATATCAATCCATGGTCAAACACAAAAAATAAGGTTTCTAAAGTAACCTTGATTATAAAGTCATTATTTTCAAAATAATATTAATAATAATAATAGGAAGTAGGGTGTAGTTTATACACCACACAATCATGCACAACAAACACGCACGCACGCAAGCACACACACAAACACACTATCGAGAAAAAACAAACAAACTGGACTCTATACAATGCACTAATAATATATATATAGCACAGAACATACGAGAGGTTGACACTTTTTACACATCACATGATGATTAATTAGTCTAATGGTGTCGAGCATAAAAACTCTAGAGAAAAAAAATCTACAAAATTTAAGGCTCCAGTGAAATAGCGAACTAGCACACCAAAAAAAACTACGTTATACTTATAGCATACATATGTATATATTTGAGAAACGGAAACGATAAATTTTTTCTCAGATCAATGAAATATTAGAAATAAGTTACAGAATACAAGTATTTTTAAGTAATGAGAAGCTAGGGAAAACCGAGCTGAAGAGCCCCAAACCGGGACGAAACGCGCGTCTTGGATACTCCTACTACTACTAGGCACTGACAAGTAATCGGCCTGGAGTTCGTAT